TAATATCCTCACACGTGAAAGATAAAAATAGTATCTTCACTGCGCGCGGTGAAGATATGATTTTTTAGTAAAAGGAGAAATCCTGGTATTTCATCAGTATCTATATAATAAAGCCTTTTCTTAAATAGGACCCTCATCAAAACTATAGCATATTCTGTTTAAGATAGGTCATACTAGCTTAGTTCCTTTGCAATACAGAGCATTGTTGAGTTTTTCAATAAGGCCTATCGATTAAATTTTGGTGAGCCTAAACAACTAGCCACTAACCAGGAGTTTTCCAATGTTCTTTACGTTTTCCTCTCTTGAAGAAAAGAAGCTCAAAGAGTAATTGTACCAGTCTAAGGCTTCTCTGTAGTCTTTCTTCTAAGTAAAGATTGAGAAAGTTTTTCGTTAATAATAGTTCTTGCTTGCTGATGCCATACAGAAAAGTACATTGCATAATTTAACATGATTTCGTTTACGTTAGAAAGTGAATTGATGGATTATTATGACAATTGTCAATAGTTGCCTAAACCTCATAAGCAGAAGCAGCTTTTTCCCACAAGAGAATATGGAATCGTTGACAAATCTGAGAATCGAGAGACCTTTCCATTTGCTCTAGAGGAAATAAAGAAAAAAACTATGCTATAAAAGAGGCGAACACGGTAACACGAACAGAGTCTTTTGAACAACAATGATAACAAACGTCGTACTGTTGCTTTGCGTATAAGCTCAATCTCTCTTCCGAAAGAGGCAGTGGTTCTCGGAAAGTCTAATCAGAGTAAAAACGGTTTCTCTTATGTCTTCTTACAGCTCTAATAATACATTATAAATTGATTTAAATTAAGAATTACAATCACATTGCGAAGTTTCCCTGCCGAGTCTTCACAGTGATCCCGCCACTCGAGAAATTTTTAGTGGTTTTAAACGAAGAAAAAAGGGTAAAAAACGTACCAACAATGCATTTTTCGATGAGAGCTTTGGCGTCTTCATCTTTGTCATTCTTTAGAAGAAGTTCCTTCATGGATTATGGAAAGCATAGAGGGAAAGATAATAATAGATTGACTCGGGCAATAAGCATGTTAATGACTAGCTGCCTCCCAGGCTGTGTCCTTATTGTTAGAAACTTGCCCATTGTTGGAAGCGAGATAGTTTCAAAGTGTTTAACACTTCTCAGGCCTGTACTTCCCTAGTCCGTTCAACTAACTGAAATTTCTCTTGTTTTAATTGCACGTTTAAATACCCTGTGAAACTACAAAAAAGTTATTTTTAACTTTTCCTTATAACGGGTGGAACCGATGGCAAATATTATTCCAACGCCATGAAATATTTGAAACTTACCAGATGCTCTAAGTCAACTTTGTATAGGTCAAGAGAGTTCTTAAATCTAGATTCCAGGATTTCCAAACAGTCAAAAGCCAGCTGTGCTCTAAGGATAAAAACGTAGTAATATAAATTTGTCTAACTTTCTATCTTAATGAACAGGAAAACGCGCGACTTTTAATGTCTCTCTCCATAAAAGAGTTTGACTGGCTACCAAGTTTGACAGAAGGTTAAAATAGTACCACATAATGTTCCTAGTGAGCGTATTGCAAACCATGATTGATCAGTCACCTCTTGTATTGGACGGCTAGGTTAACAGCACAAAGCCCAAGATCAACTTTTAAGTCTGGGTGCAGGAGAGTTTCCTCGAATACTGGGCGAAAAGAGATAATTTACGGTAAGAATATAAATCAGGCTTCTCAATCTGCATTCTTTCCACCCTTCCTCAAAATTTACACTTATAAACGCGCATCAGTGATTTTATATTAGAGTGGCTGATTGGTGACAGCGTGCAAATCTTGAAGCGTCAGGCCACTTTATTCTAGTAATTAAGAGAACTGTGATCACTTTTAATCCTCTCTATGCATGGCTATGCATACAGGACTTAATATGGTGTAATCTTTATTTGAATTAGATATCCTTAAAAACTTCTTTTGAAATTTCTTGCTTGGCAATTACTTTGGAAGTTGAGTTCATCTTAATTAAAGAACGAGGTATTCCTAGGACCCTCATACCAGACCGCAATCTTGAACACGGAAACTCTTCGTCTCCATTACCCATCAAAAGAAGTTTGGCTTTTAAGTAAAGCCCAGCTGGATGTCCATGCTCCTACAACACAACATAAAATTCATCATTTCATGGCTGAAAAATCATTAGCTGGAGGCAGTTTGAAAGGGGAAATGCAACATGTTAAAAAAGAGCAACGTACACTTACAGAGTTTGCAAGGTCTGCCAAAAAAGAGAAAGGAATATAGTTTAGTCGAGCTGGGTATGTTGGGAAATAATTCAAAATTAAAAAAAAAAGTGATGATTGGATAATGGCATTTAAAGATGTATAAAATGCTTGAGGCTTTCAGACTTACCTGCATATAAACTAAAGCACTAAAACTACGGAAGTTGAATGGAACATGGTAAGGGTCAAGGGAAAAATTAAACGAAGGTTAGAACACGAATGATCCAAACAATCATCAGACTAATAAAAAAAAAAAAAACAGTAAAAATACTTTTTTAGAATCACTTTTTCATACCAACTGCATTAAGAGCCATCTGCCAATGTTGTTTAGAGTCCCAGTCAAGATATGCATTGGCCATGAGACGCAAAGTAGTAGCTTGCTGCAACCATAGAAATTCGTTCAGAACTACAAGTTTCAATTTGAAACAAATTGCAATAATTACATGCTTTTATTATTTAGCTTATATCACTTCTCTGTAAAACGTAGCGGAATGAAAGATCGGCCCGAATATGCCCTTTAATTTTTTCTTGCTCGAACAAATTGAGAGGATGAAAGGATAATATTTCACATATGAGCTAGGGGCACTTACCTGTTTATTAGCTCCTGAAGAACTATTTTCTTTTCGTAGATCGTAACTTTCCCTGCAAACATTTTGTGTTGAGGATTACTTTGAACATGTTTCTAGGACATTGGTTATCAAAATGGGTCGGTAATGCAATTTCGTATTTCTGTCTATACTATCACGTACCCTGGGCTATGGCGACTCTCAAATAGTTCACTCCCAATCCCGCTGGTACATAACTATGAGATATCCGCGTAAAATTGTCTCAAAGCAAAGTAGGACAATTTCAGTTCTCAATCTCAGTTGTTTCCAAACTTTTACGTACCTTAACCATGCAATACATTTTTCGTACTCCTCTCTGTAATATGTATCAACTCCAAAATTGTAGCACAGTTCCGCCAGGGTATTGCACTAATGTAAACAAAGTAAAAGAGAGAAAAATAATATATCAAAGCCTTAAGAAGCGTTGTATTTCAATGTCAATACAGACCAACTTTAAATTGAGCCTTTACCTCCTTTGTAGGAAGTCTGCCCAAGAATTCTTTAGCTTTGGTTACATACAGTTGTGCTTTATCTTGCTGACTCATTGAGAAGCTCTGTTTTGCAAAAGAAAGACAAATTATACTTTAGTGGATAGAAAATATTTTAGCCGAGTAATTGTGGTTACGTCCCGAAAAGGAACTAAAAAATATACAAACAATATTTTCTCCTGGAACAAGCAGTCAAAACCTTGCTGTTCAAAAACAAAATAATTTCTAACTACAAATTTGAACATTTTACATGGTAAGGGAGCCAGAAAGCCGTTCTATTATAAATTGGGTCGGGAATCATCAGAAGGTTTTCGTACTGGTTTCAATCAATGGCCTCCACACATCGACTGTATTCTTTTAAATCCAACGGACTGTGAGCTAGATTTTCAAGGCTTTGCTTTGTTTCCTTTTGTTTTTTCTGTTATATTATTATTGCTATTTTAATAAGGTGGATGACAAGAAGAGTGGAGGTAAATGATATTCACCGTTTCTGCTCTATAACAGAAGACTCTGAACATGTAACGCTCGCATTCTGCAATCTGTTTGGATTGCTCTGATGTTGATAAAATATGTTCATCTCTTGATGACCATAACTTCTGCAGTCCATTCCAACACTGCAATTTTAACACAACAATTGTCTTTGATAAATCTTCTTAAATGTCCACAGATAACACAAAAAAATGCACTCTCGTTTTGAAATCATAATATTTTCAGGTATTCTCTAAACTTGCCTCAGATGCTAAAGCAAGGCATTCATCTGCCATGGCTAAATTTTCACAGTCTGTAGTAGACAAGTTGGTCAACATTGTAATATATGAAAGAAAAAAGAAGAAGCATAGTAAAGGATCACCTTGACAACTACGTATGATTGTTGACGATAAAATCTGGTTTATCGTAAAAAGCTCATATAGCGGGCCTTTTTCTCATGAACTGAACATAACGTTGGCTTCAGTGATTTATCTTACGTTCGATTACCTACTTTCTAACTATTTCTACCTTTTTTGTGTGTGTCAACCGCAAAGTTTAATTTTCTTCGTTTTACTCAGGCAATAACAGAGAGGTTAGTCACTTTTGTGGAGATAATTAGTCATAAACAATTTCTTGCAACGTGAATGAAACTACCATGTGCTCTAAAGAAGCTGTAATATTGAATAAATTAATAAAAAATATCTTTACTCACCGAGCCAGGCTCGTCCTGTTTTGGCTGTCATCTAAATACAAGAAATGAACAAAAAAGTTTTTTATCATTTGACTGGAATATACTGTTAACAAATTTGAATATTTATTGGTTACGTAAATTCCGTACCACTAACTGTTTCCGGTAGGTTACTTCACTTGTTTCAGCAGCATTAGCCAAAATTGAAAGCTTGCAAGCTGCATGCCTTACTGAAATGAAAAAAAAAAATACAATTTAAAGCAAGAGACTGCCCTGCTAAGGAAGCATTTCCTCATACTCACCGGGCATTGGCCCCTTTAGGTAAAATTGAGGGCGGCATTCTCATGTTTACTCTACGGAAGAACTGAAGGAGATAAAAGATATCTGCGGGAGTAAAATGGTTAAAGCACAGTCGAGGTGGAAGAGGGCAGCATTAATTAATCTTACTTTAACAACTAAATACAGGTAGCGAGAAGAAAAAAAACTCCATACATTTTGCATTTTCGGTTTTTCCAGCTTGCCCACTACCAGTCTTCATCGCCACAGCAATATTCCAAAGAGTTACAGCGCTGCTATGAATCTGTATTAACGCTGCGTTATTCTCAGCTCTTTCAAACGTCAGTTGATGCATTCCTTTCACCAGGTTTGTTATACGATTGGCCAATACTGACACTCTGTCCGCACTGCTTTGATTTGAACGTAAGTCTTTCACGAGAGCTAGATGTGCAATAAACAGAACCTGGTAAACTCTTTGCACCCAGGGAGAGAGAATCCAATCCTTGAGAATCATCAATTTAGTCAAAGCTAAATCGTAACTGTTTAAGCAATAAGTTTTGATTGTGATATCAAGGGAACGCCTCAAAAATTAAGAAACCTTATTCATAGGCGCACTGTTTATCAGCTTACCTTGCAGTAGAGCTGAAGCGTTTCCAATATCCTCTACACTATCGCTGTTCATCTTAGAGTTTTACAACTACAAGCCAGTAAATTCTTGTGAATTTTCTACACTGAACAAAGCATCTTATATCAGATCGACAGATTTAAAAGCTTTCAAAAACACCAAAGGCTTTAACTCTAACGAAAACATACATCGATAACTCTGAGAGATCTGAGAAATTTACCAGCAGCGGGTGCCAGCAAAAATGGCGGGAAACTGGCGCGCGCGTGACTTTTGGCGCGAAGTGAATCAACAGAAAAACTAAATAGACATCTTCTGTGTTGAAGTTTACTTCGATTGTTAGATTTAGCTATCGAAAACTATCTTGGAGGAATCATGTTTTGGTAAAACACATCACTACCACTTAACATTATTAAATTAAAGGTAAAAGTTTTGCAAAATCCAGATTGAAACTGAGTACTATCTCATTCTTCAAGGGAAGGTAAGTTATAAGAGTTCTTTGGATCGTGCTTGAGAAATCTGTTTGAGAATATTTCCAGATTATATGCGCTTCGAGTTAGTCATAATTATTTAATTTGTTATTTCTTTAATAAAATACCTGAAATCCACTTCATGTCAAGTCAGAAAGACTTCTTTTTTTATAAATACTGATTTATTATCAGGATGCGACACTAACTAAGTGATTCCACAGCCTGAAGAACAACGTAAACTATCAAACGATGGCTGTTGATCCGAATTACTTGACGAATATGTATGAAACCTCTCCACTGGTGAATGACAACTGCACCACATTCAGAGAGAAGTACAACCATTGGTAGGTGGAGATCTAAATCAAAATATTAAAATCATTTAAGAATGTAAATCGATTATCATTTCAGATACGGAATTTGGCATGTAGCGAAAATCAGCGCTATCTACTGCTATCTATTACTTAAATAGCGCTATCTACTGCGAAGATCGTGCATCATATGTATCTAATACCGCAGTACAAAATATATGAACTTCATATATTTCATTGTATCTCATTTATCACTTTCACGGGTTTACTACGAATCAACTTAACGGCCTGCTCCCAGTTGGCTTGTTAGCTCAATTGGTAGAGCGCTGCACTAGTATCGCAGAGGTCAGTGGTTCGAATCCCGTACAGGCCTGATTTTTTTCAGGTCTGATTTTCGCTATTGCTTAAATAGCGCTATCTACTGCGAGGATCGTGCATCATA